ATGAGTTCACTGAGAAAGCATACAGAGATCCACCTGATGGGAACCCATTGCAGTGCAATTGCAGATAATTTCTTGGGGCTTAATGATTATCTGAGAGATACAGAATTCCAGTTTGACAAGAATGACTATAAATGCCCTGAATGCAGGAAGACACTATGAGAAAATGCAATTTGGCATGTTTTCCTGAAGTTGCCTCCTTCTTACCAGTTTATGGTTTGTTTCTGCATTTCCCTGTCCAATTTTAACCTCATATTTTTGACACTTGTATCAATCATTGCCATGGAACTGAGTTTTAGAGCAGTGTTAGTATCTAGTGAATTGGCTAATAAAACAGCATGTATCATTCTGTTCCACTCATTATAAATTAACCTAAGTGGCTGCTCACTGCGCCATGCATAGGAAACTGCCTGAGGTAAAATGAAGAACTAAATCTGTGTGTATGGGGAGGGCCAAAAGAGAGTATGAAATGTCAGAAGTCAGCCCCATACTTGGCTCTAACCTCTGCAGTTATAGCAGTATATGTTAATTGTCTAGCCATCTTCTCTAGTGCACATCAGTGTCAAATCCCTAACATACTGTCAGTTTTTAATGATGTCACATTTTGAATGCACCCCCCTCTGTGTTTTATCTTCAGTATTTGTTTATCTTAGATTCTTCAAACATTGGTTTATTCTCCGTAGGTCATTTCTACAAACTGCCTTGTTAAGTTAGTTTGAGGTTTGTTCTGTGTTTCTTGGTATCCCTCTACATATTACAGAAAGAGGAAAAACAAGGGATAAAGGACATGAATAAGGTGCCTGAGTTGATGGAACTGTCTTCTTACCTCAGTAATAAGGTGTCATGGGTACTTTTAGGTCTCATAAACGCGTTCTCTTGTGTGATTCCTCTGCAGCTCAAAGCATGAGGAGTCAGCAGAAACATCAGCAAGCCCAGGTGCAAATGAGAAAAATGATGCTAGAGTTGTTTTTTCATTCTGTTCTGTTTCTATAATGAGTTTAATGCTCATAAAATATCATTCTCATGGGCCTGAGACTTTGCAGGCTAGTTCTGCAGTTGAACTGTAATGAAGTCTTGAAAGGAACATATCACAATATACAATTTGTGACTTGATTTTACATTTACCAGCATTATCCCTATCTTCATTTTCCCAGCATTATGTGCTCTGCTAGGTCTATGAATTTTTACTTATTTCTCCAATTTGTATCATCTACCTTTTGAGTATGTACCGTTATCTTTGGATGTTTTCTTCCTTTTGTCCTTTGTATCCCAGTCCTCACCTTTCCACAAATAGGGGACTAAATATTAAGATACATAAAGCTTTGTGCATGTAGATACACAGACATTAGCAAACCTGGTGGATTTCAGAAAAGCCTTGACTCTCCTACATACACGTCAGTTGTGATACAAGCAAACCTAAGCATCCCACAACTCTATAAACCCATATGAGAGAAAGACATAGGTGTATTTTAAATCTCATTCTTAAACCACTGAGATATGTCATTTGGTCCCCATGTGCAGAACTAGTCCACTTTATGGAATGTTATGCTGTCGTTGTCTTCATCTCACTTGTAATGCACAGAGGTTGGAGACAAAAACCTGTACGTGAGAGCAAGATTTATGGGATCAAGTAAAATCTGTGAGTAAATATGGTAGAGAATTGAGGTATTTGTGTTTGTTTGGGGTTTTTTTTTTTTTTTTTTTTTTGGTCAGAGTGGCTATAGATACAGGTGTCATGAACAGAAGACATATGTGTATATATATATTTTTTTTTTTAATGAAGCAAAGTTTGTAAGTTGCTGCAGTAACATTTCAGACAAGATCTGTTGACAGGACTATAGTCAAACTCTAGGGCACTGAGGAGACAGCAGATGAGTTGTCTGGAGTCGTCTTTGCTTTTCTGTCCTGGATAATGAGAAAGTAAAGGCAATAATAGATGGTTCCAGTCAATCCCAGAGGCAGAAGTTAATAAGATGAATCTTGCAAAAACTGTCATGATATAAATTGAAATTAATAACATTTTGTAGAATCATCATGCCAGGCACTGATATGCATTCACCTGGCTGAGAAATGAATGTTCATCAAAATGCAGAATGCTAATAGTCATCAGAGCTGCTTGAAAACAACACGTAGTGCATGCTGGCACCTTGCTGAGTAGGAAGCTGGGGAAGCCAAGAACTTGCGTGGATCTGTGCAACATCAGCACGACTTCATATTTTCTCAGGTGGCTGAAAAAGTGTCAGATACCTTTGTGTAAATTGGAGAGCAATGTCTGCCTCTTAACGTATGAGGGCACTCTTTGCTCTGTAATCAATTTCGAAATTGTTCTACCCAATCAGATCGAAATGACAACTTCCTTCAGCATTCCCTGAGATTTTCCCCAGGCTGGAGAAAGCAAACTACTTCTTCCCCATGGTCTTACCGACACGTCTGGGCAGCCTGGGGAATTGAACTGATAAAACTCCCATTTTTCTGTCAATATAGTCTCTATTTTTTCTCACATGTGGCTACTCAGATAGGGAGTATTTTAGAAATATGTCAGATTTGCAAAACATTAAGATAAATTGCTGAGAAATATCTATTACTTCTAGGTTTTCTTAATGATATAAACTCTAAGCACTAAGACAGAGGAAAATATATAGGAAACTGTGAACCTTTGAGAATCTGTATGAATGGTCCAGATGTGTTGGATGTGTTTGATACACAACATCCATTTTGTGTTGGTGTTTCTGCACTTTTCCTCTTGTATACAAAGCAGCCTTGCTTTCCTCCTTCAAACAGTGCACATGGTGCCAGCTGCCTGAGGGGATAGTAGGGTTTGGGTCACCTGGAGTCTTTTACTTAGACTGGGTGCCTTTCTAAAAGGTCTGCTGTAGCTCAGGCTGGAGTGGTGGATTTCTGTGTTGTGCTAGGGGTTAAGCATTCATAGCTCTGTTGTCTCTTCTGTCTGAAAACCTGTGATTGTTTCAAATCTCTTTTTGGAACTTGCTCTTTCAGCCAGCCTTTACTTTCTGCTGTTGGACCTTCAAACAGCCACTGACCTGATATAGCTGTGTAATTCCCAATACAAAAATCATTTGTCCTGCGTCCTGCTGCCGGGAAAGGTGCTGGGCTCCTGTGTGATATTCTGAGAAGGCCCAATCAGATATTGTTGTATCCTGGTCTGTTTTCACCAATGTATGCCCATGTTATGGATAGATGTACATATAAATTATTCACTTTCTGTGCTTTCTGTGCAGAGCAATACTTTTCTCAAAGGTACCTTTCCTCCCCACTGCTTCTACTTTTTCTTTTCTTGCCTTGTGATTTTGGTACGCCGCTTTGTAGTCTGTTGTTTGAAGGAGGAGTAAAGTTTAATCTTGAGCTAATATGTGCCTGAGTTTACATCATTTGCAGATGTGGTGATTTTACTGCACTGGGATAGAAGCTGCCTCTATACAAATTTTGGGTGTGTGCCCGAGATCTGTGCTGTTGTGCTTTGTATTTGTATTTAAATGTTGTGTCCCAGTGGCTTTAGGAAGTTGGCTGGCCATCCGCTGGCAGCAGGGAGCAGAGCCATGACCACCCTCTGCTTTCTGAGATCCCTTTTGCCTCTCAAGCTCAGTTAGAGCTGAAAAAGCAAGGGGCAGCCTGTTTGACTCCTTGGTGAGTACAGGTCAGGGAGAAGATCTTCGTTCCTCCCCTGTCATTTGGTTTGGTTCCTGAAGTAACATCTGTTGGCTCTGAAGGAGCGTGCCTTTTTAGCCAGAATGGGAATGTGTTGATGTAGGATGTCTGTTTGCTTGGCTGGTGGTGGTCCCCAGGTCTGCACTCTCTGTATTCTGGGTGCAGAGAATAACACTTTTTTTTACCCTGATCTGCATTTGGGACACACCAGAGATAGGCAAGGTGGGCAATTGCTTTGAGTGGCAGATTGATAGAGGAGGGCAAGACTGTAAAAGCACTGAGCCAGAGTAAAGGAAGGGACAGGGACACAAGAAACAAACCTGGGAATTAGAGTTCATGGGTCTTGTTTGATACTGATGTGTATCTTTGACTTTTCTCTGTTCCTGTGCTCCCACAAATAAGAGGGGTTGTAGATAGCTGAGAAAGCTGGTTTTGATGCAAAGCTTTTTGGTATTACTGAGCTGAAGGGGAGGGGATGGCTGAGCACGTGGCTGAAGCGAATCATATCAGTTTACTCTTTTCTATATTACAGTCAAATCCTGATATCAGTGAGAAGCAAATCCAGTGGGTTTGAGTTACGTAGGTTTTGCAATGTGCAGTGTCAGTAGAGCAAAATGCAAAAAGCAGAGACTAGAAAATAGTCCTTTTTAGCGGAAAAAACAGTTTGTTATTTTTTAATGTCATTTCCCTACCCTATCCAGGACCAGGAAAGCTCTTTCCCCAGAGTACTTTCTGTTCAGAGGCTCTCTCCTAGATGGTGCTTCCTAGATGGTAAGTGCATCTCCCTTCTCTTGTGCCTAGCATGCTGCTTGCTTCTGGTGTGCATGTGAAGGATAGTTCATCAGAGAGAGTATTACTATGGAGGGGTAACTGTTCTTTCTTATTACACTAATCAAGTAAAAAAGGAGCTGAGTGCCCCCCTTACCACTGTGAAAAATGAAACAAGCCCTTCATTCAGCTGTAGGTTTGTCACCCCAAGGAGGCGTGTTCTTCTAAGGGTGGTGGTTAGAGGTTTGGTCTATTAGTGGCTCTGCTGTGATGAGCAGCACTTACTGCATGGTGTTGCCTGGACTCAGAGTGCAGCTGGTTGTGGCAATGCACTGCTGCTGGTGAAGCTGCATTCTTCACTCTGGTTTCTCTTTAAGTGCTATAGTGTTTAGGTGACAGAAATGTAGACTATAAGACTGCACTTCATGTAACTCCCTGGAGGGCTGCACTTATACTTGACCCAGCCTTTGTCAAGGCAGATGGTTTATCTAGGCTTTACATCAGGCTCCAGAGCACTGGAATTAGCAGCTAAAATGGGTGGCATCTGCTTTTGCAAAAGCTTCAGCATGGTGAGACTGAAATTTTTATTGTTGTAAACAAAAACATTTTCTCCTTGGCAATTTCTAATCACTCTTCCTTGTCTCTCATGAGGAAAATTGGTAAAAAAACATATTGAGAATCTATTTGGGTTTTGGAGAAAGCTGTGTGGGTAGATACATTCAGTTTTTGTCTTTAGGGATTTTATATTCCTTTGCAGTGCCAAAACCTACAATGCTACATCACTATGCTCTTGTATTAAAAATTCAGAATGAACGAATCTGATTTCACTGGCCAAATGAAATGCAAAGCAGAAACAAAAAAATCACATCTGTTGAAGCACATTGTAGGTGATAAAATACTTCTGGGTTTAGTAACAGAAATTATTTGGCAGTGGCAAGATTCATATTAGGTGCTTTGTTTAGTGAATCTCCCCTATTTTCATGGTTTTTTCATGATTAGCATGAATTTTCCTTGAGCATATTGGTAATTCAGGGTAAATATCTGTGGCCATGCATTTGATTTACAAAGAGCTCCCAAGCATGTTATTGTTCTTTAGATTCAAACTTTGAATTAATTCTACTAGACCCATCAATTTCATTATATGCTTGCTATACTCTCAGTGGAACAATGCAGCTTTTTCTGTTGCACATTTTTAATGTAATCAATTATTTTTAGAAACCTGAAATACATTTTGTATTTTTTTTTAATATTTATTTCAAGTTAATAGTTTCAGTGAATATTGTTTTGTTAAGCCTCACCTTTAAATTCGCTGTTTAATGGGACAGGAACATGGACATAATGAATCAATCAAAGTATGTTCTTGTGAAACCACTGTGACTTCACTGACACAGAGGTTGTCTTACATGGTAGTGATGTTAGCTCAGCCCATCTTGCCCATGCAATGGTTCTGCTCAGACCATTTTCTTCACTGAGGCTCTGTTGTTTCTCTGTCTTGCAGCAACTTCTGCTGATCGTTTTTACCGCATTGACAGATCTCAGGTAAATCTTTATTCAGTTACCGTTTCTATAGATTTTTTTTTAAAGCTATGTCAAATGCAGCTTGAAATGAATTATCTGCCATGCCTCCTGTGTATTCTAAAATGCTACTGATGTCTCGTGAAAAATAGAGAAAAAATTCTGGGCCATGTATTAGTTGATGTAATTTACATAGTTTTATATCTGCTGACCATCTGCCCTTCTGTTTACTACCAATCTAATGTATACATCAGAATTTTCCACATTTGTCATCTTTATCAAGCCTTACTAAGGGTATCTGTGTGGCAGCAGAGTATTTGCGTTTATCTTTTCACTGATGCTTTTAGTCACCAGAAGTCTTGATCCTGTGTGTGTGGCATGGAATAGCCATGGAAATTAAGGTGATGTTACAACTGGAGAATTATGAACAAAGCTGTATCAAATATTCCCAAGGAACCCCAAAACAGTGTGTAGCTCCATTGGTTTCAAACCTGTGCTATAGATTTGACAATCTGAATATATGTTCTAAAAGGTACTTAAATTTTACAAGCCTTTTTGTGTTTCTGATTTGTAGCCAGAACAGGCCAATTAGTGGCACAGCATTAAGTGCAAACTGTTGATTTCACACAGTGGTCATTTTTATCTCATCCTTCTGAGAACTGTGTAAGCTGTTTCTGAACCACATGAATATATGACCATTTCCAAGCAGAAAGAGCTGTGGCTTTAGTTCAGAGGTCCCAGGTTCAGTGTTTGCATGTAGCCACTGTGGGACTTCTTTGCACACAGTCATACAAATTCTTTGATGAATGTTGTATTTTAACATTTGGAAAGCAATGGTGAAGAAGATGCTGCTACAGGTTAAACTGGGCAATGTAACTCTGGCTTATTCTGCATTTCTTTAATACTTGGCTCTGCACAAATGGTAATCTTTCCCTCCTACTCCTTTGCCCTGTGTTTCTGTGAGGAACAGATCAATACTGTGTGATGGTCCCAGTGCACAAACAGTGGGAAATTTCCTGCCCATTCGCCTACATAGACAGGCCTACTCACACTTGGTGTTTTTTGAAGGACGACGAGCCTTCACTGTCAATAACAAAAAAGAGAGACTGAGAGAGAGAGCTTTGGTAATGGAGATGTGAAACCAGAATGTAGGAGCAATGGAGGTCTGGGAGAGTACCCACCAAGAGTGAAAACTTCTGTCAGCCATCATTGGAGGGCAGACCTTAGGTGTTGGTCCTCATTTCAAAATGCAAACGCTGGCTTTTTGGATAGACCTCCAATTTGCACGCGAATGACTCAGAGTCACTGAGTAACAGCCTTTTAAGTGTTGGTATGAATGTGAAGCATGCTGGTTGGGAATCTTGTTTGGCTTGAAATTGATGAAGTTATTTATTGGTGAGTTCAGTAACACTGGTTTTAGCATGTGTGTGCACTTAAACAAATACACAGTCCTGTGAATGCTCTTCAGAGACCCTGATGTGCACCCAGCTTTCCTATGGCCAGCTGGGTACCCTGAGAGACCAGTGATGCTGCAGGTTCATTTATTTGTTCCTTGTATCACTCCAACAGGAACATTTGCACTTTGTGACGGAAATTTCGCAGGACGAGATTTTTATTCTGGACCCAGAGCTGGTAATGTCACAGCAGGTGGGGACACCTTTCTGGTAGTGGAGCAGGCCTCTGGGTGAGTGGTGCTGGGATATGGCACTCAGCAGCTGTATTAGAGTTGGGTGTCTCTTTTCCGGTCCCCTGTTCTGAAGGATTGGGAGACGCATGTGAGTTGGGGCAATCCCAAGCACAAATACAGGCTGGGCAGAGAATGGATTGAGAGCAGCCCTGAGGAGAAGGACTTGGGGGTCCTGGTTGATGAGAAGCTGAACATGACCCAGCAATGTGCACTTGCAGCCCAGAAAGACAACTGTATCCTGGGCTGCATCAAAAGAAGCATTAGCAGCAAGACGAGGGAGATGATTCTCCCCCTCTACTCTGATCTCGTGAGACCCTACCTGGAGTATTGCATTCAGCTCTGGGGTCCTTAATGTAAGAAAGACATGGACCTGTTGGAGTGAGTCCAGAGGAGGGCCACGAAGATGGTCAGAGGGCTGGAATATCTCCCATATGAGGACAGGCTGAGAGAATTGGGGTGGTTCAGCCAGGAGAAGGGAAGGTTCTGAGAAGACCTAACAGCAGCCTTCCAGTAATTAAAGGGAGCCTACAGGAGAGATGTGGTAGAACTCTTTATCAGGGAGTGTAGTGATAGGACAAAGGGTAACAGGTATAAGCTGAAAGAGGGCAGATTTAGATTAGATATTAGGAAGAAATTTTTTCCTGTGAGGGTGGTGAGGCACTGGAACAGGTTGCCCACAGAAGCTGTGGATGCCCCATCCCTGGAGGTGTTCAAGGCCAGGTTGGATGAGGCTTTGAGCAACCTGGTCTAGTGGAAGGTGTCCCTGCCCATGGCAGAGGGGTTGGAACTTGATGATCTTTAAGGTGCCTTCCAACCCAAACCTTTCTATCATTCTATGATGTGGGAGGGCAGATCTTAGGTGGAGAGCTGGGGACAGTATCAGATATAGCCGTGGTAATGACAGAAGGACAGTGGTATAACATGAATTCCATTAGGCATCCTGGAGCACACAGCAGGACTAATAGACTTCATCACCTTTCAACCTCCTTGCATGCCCTGACTGTATCTGTCCTGCCATACATCTCTATCGATTGAGTTAAAAACTCCTTCATGGTCAGGGCTCTGATACCACTGCATAAGGCCCTGAAGTCCTTTGTGCCTAAGAATGATGGTGAAGTGTCTCTGGCTCTTCTAATCCTCTGGGCAGACCAGAAATGGTCCTATTCATCTTTAGGAACAGTCTCGTACTCATAGTGAATTAAGCTGTTTTAGCTTGCTATGGGCTGAAAAGTTCTGGGAACAAGTAAGCATAAGACAGCTTCAAAGTGGAGCATGTGAGGTCATTTCTGAGGGGTGAATACCTTTCTCTTCCTTCTTCCCTCCCTAGAATATCAGATCGGTGGAACCCTGCAGTTCGAAAGAGGATGCTGAGCGACAGTGGCCTCGGCAAGATTTCCCCACACTACGAGGTACCTGACAAACAAAAGGACGCCAGCCAGACACATATGCTGCAGTAAGAGCCCTCTGCATTTCTCTGCTTGATGATGCACTGTCACCATTGCCACAGTCAACTCCTAGTGGCTCCTTTAAGCTTAGTGAATTGTGCTGTTGTGCTGAAATTATAGAAGTCCTTCTGCTTCTTCTCTTTTGCTCCTTCCTTCTGTTTCTTCCTCTTTCTCTGTTATTACATGTTCTTACCTGTGTTTTTTTTCCCTCTGTGGCACCCTGTGCTCTTAATGAACCTATATCCAAGTTTCCAAAATAGATTATTTTGGTTGCCTGAAGTTCCAGCTAAGAGAACCTTCATGGCAACTGCTTATTAGAAAGACCAAAGCACTTGCTCTTAAGGTAGCTCTGATGCAATGTGCAAACCAGAAACCTCTACAACGGCTGCTTGCTTTCAAAGATGTAGGCAATAGTTGTTATACAATCTTGAACCAAATATGCCATTGTTGGTGTGGGATGACTAAACAGTGCTTTTCTTGCTGATAATTCCCTCATGTAAGAGATTTCTGCCACCGGAGTCCTGTTTGTCATGTTCAGATTTCATAGAATCACAGAATGGCTAGGGTTGGAAAGGACCTCAAAGATGATCAAGTTCCAACCCCCCTGCCATGGACAGGGACACCTTCCACTAGACCAGGTTGCTCAAAGCCTCATCCAGCCTGGCCTTGAACACCTCCAGGGATGGGGCATCCACAGCTTCTCTGGGCAACCTGTTCCAGTGCCTCACCACCCTCATAGTGAAAAATTTCTTCCTAATGTCTAGTCTAAATCTACCCTCTTTCAGCTTATACCTGTTACCCCTTGTCCTCTCACTACACTCCCCATCTCTCCTGTAGGCCCCCTTCAGGTACTGGTAGGTTGTGTAAGAACATCTCTTATTCTTGCCTGTTTCAGAAGTGGTTCTAGCTTTTTGGTCCTTTTGCTTTAGATTTTGAAAACCAGCAGTGTATCCATAATCACTACCAAAGTTTAGATGGGAAGCACCTGTCCGAACTCTGTTGCTGGCTTTGGAAAATTCTAGTGTTTTGGAGTTGTTTTTTCCACCTAAGACATAATGTATAATTATGTATGTCACTTATGCTTTATGTTTCTAGTTCTACTGAATATGGATCCCTATGGAAATGTTTTAAAATTTAGTATAGAATAATTAGACATAGAGACCATGTGGTCCTTGTTTCACTTTGTCTCTCTTCTGTCTTGGATGTGTGTGGAAGGGAGCTGCAAGGTGCCTGACAAGTACAGCTCTGGGGCAGGTGCAATGTGGATGAGAGGTTGCATAGCTGTGTGGCTACAAAAGGGAAACTTTCCAGCAAGCTGGAAGCTGCTGGCAGGAGAAGGAGGTGTCATGGTAAGAAAGGGTGATCTGGGTAGCACTGCCAGGAGGCACTTACCTGGATTTCTCCCATTACCTTGAGGGATTATGGATCAGTTCTTGTTTTTATGCTCTTTGCAATGTGAAGGATGGTGAATTCAGGTTCAGTTTTCTACAGGCGGGAATGACAGGGCCTGAAATTTGGAGCTGGAAAAGCTGGGAAAAAAATGATACTTAAGACACTTTTTGGCAGTGTGGAGAGATGGTGACAACATGTGGACTAACTTCTAGTTGATAAGAGGAATGATTTTGTTTACATCAGCTTGACTGGAAATGTTTGCTGAGCTGGAACAATTATGTTTGGTAGATTTATTAATTACAAGCAAAGCCAGTAGCACTGCCCAGAGTAAAGTGTATTTGTCACTGCCTACTATAAGAAATTGTTATCTTTATAGCTTCTCTAAACTTTAATTGTTTTGGCTGAAAGTTTTCATGGTGAGACTCAGTCTTTGGCTGATTCTTTTTTTCTAAAAAAGACTGTTAAAACTTTCACAAAAAAGTCGGATGTTTCTGAGAACAAGATTTGTGGAAAACGTGCTGCTTTAAATCACCTTATTTGAAATAAATAAATCCAGCAGTCATTTCCTGAGACATTTTAGTTCTGGTACTGGAATGAACTTCATTAGGATGAAGTTTTGGAGGCTTGACATTTAATAAAGTGTCACCATAATACCAGGGAGATGCCTTTGGCTGTCTTGAGAAAAGTACCCCCGAATTTGCCCTGCTGATGAGGTTTTTCATGCACCTTGGAGACACCTCAGACTCAAGAGCTTTGCCTTCAAAAGTTTCTGTCTGCACATGCTCATGGAGGAGTTATGCCCCTCTGTGCTTAATCCCTCGTTGCAGGCCTGACAAGCAGGTGGAGGGAAGTGGGGCTGTGCTGCTCACCAGCTGATCTCCAGCAGCAAGGAGAAAAGGGACACAGCAGTCATGGTCAAACAGAGATGGGTCAGGAGGAGGTGTATGGAGGAACAAGGAAAAGAGGTTGCAAGAACCCAAGGAGTAGAAGCAAAAAGGGAGTGTGTGCAGGAACTTGGGGAGCAGGGTTAGGGAATGGGAGCTGGCAATTAGAAGCACAGGGGACATGCAGATATCTGGGAAATTAGAGAATAATGAAAAGGAGGAGGAGATGAGGTGCAGATGGGTTAAGAGGTGAGTGAGACAGGTTAGGGGCTTGGGGTCAGGGGTCTGTGGCTGTTCTCTTCAGAATCTGGAGTTCTGGGCTGATGCGTGTTATTCGTTATCCTCGTGGACAAGCTCTGAAGTATGTTTAGACACTGCCTTATTTGCTGCCAAGCTGGAAGTTGTATAGTAAATGAGGCAGGGGACTGCAGTGGAGAAGGCAAGGTATTATTACAGTTAAGGCAGCTGAATGCTGCTCTGGCTTTTCCTCTCAGTTTCACTGACAGAATTTCTGAATGATGCAGATTTACAACAAACATTTCACAAATGACCAGTAACAGCAGGCTCCTCATTCTGTGGGTGTCCGCTCTGAAGTAGGATGAGTGCCTGGGAGGGCATTACAAGGGGACTTTGAAAGAGATTGAAGGGCTGGAAACTGAGAAATAGGCTTTCTCTGTGCCTCAGGTTGTATTACTAAAGTAGTGGAAAGTTTGTGCCTTCCTTCTTTCTGACTCTCATTTGCCCAGTTGCAGAATACAGATAGTATTGTAATCTCACCTTAGAGGAGCACAATGAGGGTAAATTTCATGGTCACACGGAACTTGGATACGATGGGGAGACTCTGTCAGAGACACAAAATTAGTCATTTTACATTATGTGCACAGTTTTGGTAGTGTGGAATAAATAAATAAATAAATAAATCTTGAAGCTGTGCACTGCATCTACATAGACAAAAGGATATCAAGCAGGTCCCTACTTAAACACTGAGGCAAGAATTCAGTAGAAGAAAGTATCAGGTGGCAATGTGACTAAAGATTGTCAAAGTGCTTCAGTGCAACAGGGCTGGAGTATGATGACATACTCTGGCATTTCCAAGCTTCTGGGTGCACGACTTTGCAACCTAAAAATTCTTTCTAGCCTGGCACTTCAAAGAAAAACTTAGAAAGCATGATTATATTTTGGCAGCTGAAGTAGCTCACAGGTTCTTTACAGAGGTTTGTCTGTTCAGAAATTATTTTTCAAAGAAAACTTGCAGAAAGGATTTTAGCAAAACTTCCAGAAAGGAATATGGCAGAGCACAGAGGGGACAATTCCTCCTGTACATGGAATTCTCATTGATCTCTTAAGAGTCATCAGTGTCCAGTGTTTGACATGTAGTCCAAAATATTGTACAGCACTTCCAGCTCAAAGTGCAATATCCTATAGCCTGTCCCTAAGGCAAGTGACAAGGACTTGCTGTGAGAGAAAGTGTCATTAGTTGACCTACAGGGGCTGTTTTCTCAGTGGTCATTTTTCTCCCAAAGAGGAGTTGAGAGTGACCCTCCTCAGATGTTAGGAGCGGATTACACCACAGTTGGTCATAGCATGGCTGCAGGCTGTTTAGAGTGTCTCTGGCATTGCTGTATATACATATATATGTGTGTGTTGTATATATACATATATAGAACTTCTTTAAGATGAAGTAATTATTTCTGACAAGTGAGGAGTGTAACTAAAAAGACAAAATATGCAAATAGAGAGATCCCTTAAATTACTGCAGTCAATGAAAGCAGAGAAGAGAACAGGTGATCTAAAAATAATTATAATGTTTGGTGTTGCATTTAGTCACAAGCTGTTAGGGTAAAGAATAATTTGAACATAATGATTTTGAGGCAGGGCTCTTGCTGAGAGAGAATTATTTATGCTTTTGTTTTTAATTGAGCTTCATGTTAGTTAATTTTCAGGTGGCTTTTGATTATATTTCATGTTTTGCTCCCTTTCTGATGGCTCTTTGATGTGTGACTGATGTGTGGAGCAGGCAGGACATGAAGCAGTGTCTTGATGCAGCAACCAGGAGGTGGGGCAGATCATAGCTTGATAGGAACATCAAATTAGCATGAGTGGTGCATACAAAAACCCGTAGGAAGACAATTACTTGGACCACTGGTACTTGATCTTGAAAAATGCTAAGTATCCTGGGCTGACTCCACTGAAATATATAGTTGGACTCTTCCTTTGAACATGAGTGGGTTCATCCTGATTTACCCTATGATCAAAGGGTGCAGTGAGATATGGATGGCCATTCCCTCATAGCCTGCTGTAGGCATTTATTGTTGGCCATGTATTTCTCTTCGTAGTTACATCTTTGTCACCCTGTTATGTGATAAGAGCTGGAAAATAAAGTAAAATAAAAGCCACAACAGCATGCAAAAAAAAAAAAAAGTCACTATGCCTTGGTAGAGGTTTAACCTACATCTTTTAATTTAAGTCATTAATTTTCCCATTGTTTGGGGCAGTAACAACCAACCTTCTGCATCTGTCCAGCTGTGATGGTAATGTGTTTCCAAAGCTTCTAGCTGCATTTTCTGAATAGAGTGCATGGCTCGTGAAGGGTGGGTGAAGGTTGGCCAGAATGCCATCTGCTCCTGTCAGGGAGAGGAAGAAAAAACGCCTGTAGGGGCTGGAAGGTGGTTGTAGCCTTTTACACTAAATAGACATTAATAGCTAGTAATACCACCCAGGCACTGCTTTATGAGG